CTGTACCCCCTTAAATCTTTTTTTTACTTTGGGAACTTCCAGTATTTAAAGAGAACACTGTGAAAACCAGAATTGTAGTCCAATGTTAGATCTTCCCTTTCAAAACTGAGTTCTTCATCCAATCTCAGAGAGAAAAAACTCAATATATTTTGGCATCTTTGGGAACTGCTCCAGGGGCCACATGACTGGTACCTCAATAATTGCAAACTGAGCATGCCAACAGAAAAGTATCCTAGTGTTCTGTTAAGAAACATCTGTTCATTATTATTTTAAAAAAAATTCTATCTGTTCTAACTACATAATGTTTTCACTTTAATATTAAGTGAACCCCCATGATTTAAAGGAAGCTTGGGACAGTGATCTTGGTAAACCCATACAAGAAACAAATTAGCAGGAATTATGGAAATCGGGTGGATTCACCTCGGCTTTCACTGCAGTGGAAAGTTATACATCGCTAGCCTTTGAGTCCAGTTAGCCTGGCACATGAATTATGAATTATGGTTTATGTTTCCAAATGTTGGAGAGGTTGTCCAAACAAGGGTGTTTCTTTCATTTGTGGTGGTCATGTGATAAAGCTATACCCTTTTGGGAAGATAAGTATAATTACTAAATGAAGTATTAAATGCTCCCCAGACTGCATTTATTTATAGGACTAAATCTCAAGCTTAAAAATAAGGGGCTTATTATCTACTTAACTTTAGCAGGTAAAATAATAATTACTCAACACTGGATAATAAAACAATTGAGAAGTGGATTAATAAGGTCTCTTCAATTACTAAATCAGAAAAAAAAATGACAAAATTAAAATACGGAAACATCAGAGGCAGGAGACACAATTCTATCAACTTTGGATGGATGTTATAGTTTATCTCAATAGCAAAAGATTATAATATGGTAATATTTTAGATAGATGGTCAATTTGTATATGTATAATACCTGTCTCTTTACTTACTTTTTAGTATATCTTTTTTCTCTATGCATCATGGATGTATGTTATTTAGTTACTTGATATTGTTTATTAAGCATACTTCATTTTTTTAAAAAAATACATCGAGAGAAATTTAGTAATTAGTCCAGTGAAAGATTCTTTGTGATTTTCAAATAAAAATTATAAAAAAGGGGGGGGGGGGAATCCGTTATTGCACCATGATATTGGGGTAGGAAAAGTACTATTGTGGAGCAATTCAAAATGGAACATAACTGAAAAAAGTCAAGGATTAGAAAAAAAGGATAAAATTAGAAAACAGAAAGCCAAATTCAGAGGGAGAAATAAAATATAATACATATGTAGGAATGGAAGAAACAAATGAAAAAATTGGAATCTACATTAAAAAGAAGAAAATAAAATAATATCTCTTCTGCAATTGAGAATAGCCAATGTTTAAATCCAAAATAGGAGACACAGGAAAATCTACCGGAGAATGCCAAAAGAAAACAGCATCCTTGTGGTCTCTTCCCTGTTGGGCTTTTCCCTGAAAAATTAGAGTCTGCAGTTCGATTATTCATTGGCTATTATTTATTCAATCCAGATCAAACACTTTGTAATGAATTGTGTCTGCAATCTCATTTCCAATTGAAGCAACTGAAGAGCAGGGTAGGACTATCAAAAGAAGACTCCAGATTTATAGCTCTAGATTTCATATCTGAAGATCACTTAGGATATGATTATGAGAAAAATACTGTACAGAGAAACTGAAAATAAATGTTGTGTTCAAAATTGCTCATTGTTCTTACTGCACACGCAATATATGCATACCATTTTATATAGTATATATATTCACTTTCTATTATGTATATGAGATCCATCCACACACATCTACACAATACAAACCATATTTCATAACTTTATCTGTAGTTTCCATTTAATTAAAAGGTACTGGAACAAATAGCAATTATCAGTAAAAATATGAGTTCACGCTAGTTCGAGGTTGGTTTCTTCTTTGCCCCATTAGCTAGGTTCCTTAGCCAGATAACAGATTATAGCCTGAAAAATATTTCATTTCATAATAACAAGAGGCGAAGAACCCCAGTGTGAGTAGTGGGGGCGGGCAGGCTGATATATATTTCTCACTTGTAATGTATTTTGACTTTTCCAGACTCTTCAGATAAAATTAACCTGCTTTGAAGAGGAGCTCAAAAAGTTACAGGTTTCTGTGTAAGTCTTGGCATGGTTGAAAATACCTTTCTGTGTAAGTCTTGGCATGGTTGAAAATACCTTTATATGGTGCATTTTCATATTGAAAAGATGTATTTTCAATTGCCCAGAGTTCTTGCTTTTTTGTGTCACATTGCTTACATCCATCAAGTACCAAAGTTTACCTTATGGCAGTCATTTATAACATGATAACTAGATTAAATCCAACCCAAACGGAATTATTTAATGTCCCCAGAGTTTTAAGGGAAGACTTTAATTTCTCAAATAATTCATCCTGGTAAAAATACAGGAATGGTTTACCATTCCCTCCTCCCATGCTTTATGAATTGATGCCTTTTCATTATCGCTAAAGTGATCATCTGTTTCCAGTATCTTCCTATATCATTGCTGCCCAGTATAAGTGCCTGCTTTCTTTAGCTGGGCAGCTGGGATGACCTTCAACACCTTGGGTACCCTGTTGGGAATATGTATTCTTGGCATCTAGCCAGGCCCATTTTTGCCATTCTTACAGGAACATATATTTGTTCTTACAAGAAGGCAGAAATGTACTTAGTAAAGCCATTGTTTATCGTAAAATATAGACGAACTTTGGGTTCAAATATGTCCATTAAGGAAAGGCAAAATAAAACACACCATAAGAGAAAAATCCAACTCAAATGTGCATCGAACAAATCAGAGTCAGAGTTTAAACTAAAACAAGGTCCCAAAACTTTAATGGGACCCAGAATACAGGACTGGTTTTGATTTGGAGATTCAAAAAGGGCATGATTCAACTTGAGTTTGTAGTCTGAGATTTGAGGGCAACTCAACTTGCTTTTGAGCTACTTTGAGATTCAGGAGTCACTTCACAAGCAAGATTCATCCATAGGTTATAATGGGAAATTTCAAAATGCTTGAAGCTGCTTCATTTTTTGTAGAATAGGATGAAAATAACAGGGATAGTAAATCCTTTGGAGTACCTTATACCTCATTTAGAGCAGTGATGCAACACAACAATCTCTAAATTGTCTAGCAATGAACCAATAGAGAAGTTAGCTGAACCAATAGCAGCAAGTGTCCTATGCCAATTTACAAATGCAAGCATTCAAAATTAGTTTCTAAAAATGAGCTCTGAGATTTTCACTTATAAATATTAGATAAATTACAGTGGATTTTTAAGAACAATGTAACTCATTATTATTATTAGCTGAATGTTACATATAACACTCTTCAATAATTGACCCAACATTGAAAATAATATTCCCCCTCTCCCCACAAAAAAGGAAAGAAATTAATGTATTATGGCTCACAACAGTTGCAATCCTGCATATACAAATCTAGGAGTAAGTCTCATGGAAGTGAATGGGGCTTTTCAATAGACATGTATAGGATAGGTCTTTTGAACTCCCCCCAACCCCACCCTCCAAAAAAGTTTATATGCTTTTGGAATGAGAGTTTCCTGACATCAAAGCAGTTCTCATTATAGTTAACTATACATACATACATACTGTATACATACATACCTCATTATATATAACTGTATAAGAATATTTTATACATATTTTGAGCATGAAACTGAGCAAACTCAGGGAGGCAGTGAAGGACAGGAAGGCCTGGCACAATATGGTTCATGGGG